CCACCCTCATCGCCCAATTTGCTATTTTGAAAGGCCATCCCAAATTAGACCGAATTACTCTTCTTGGACAAAAACAACAAAAGTATTGAAAAAAAGCATTGTTTAATTTAAGCTCTGTCATTTAGGGCATCACTTAAGAGATACCACAGCACCTTCCCATTGGTGAAAAGGCAGCAAAAAGATCTGCTGTGATATTCTTCACCTCCAAATGCCTGTTAAACTCTCACCATGTATCCCTTCTTAATAGAAGGGTCTTTTCACACAGATCATCTGGCTTACAATGATTTTCTTCTGGAGGGAAGGAGTAGGACAATAGAACCCTTAATGTGCAGTGACATAATTTTTGGCTCCAGTCCCACCATCTAGCCTAAAGCAAGCCAGACAGAAGACCTCCATGAGGCCCTTCTCTGGGAGCTGCTGGAAGCAATGCTACATTTGAGAAAGGACTCATCAGGAAACATGGAAGGGATGTCCCATCACAACAGCAGGGTCCTTGCACTGTTAGAGCTACAAGAACAGGGGCAAGGTGGCTCTCGCAATCACTGTTCAGACAAGAGGCCCCAACCCTCTTGCTCCACAGGGCAGGAGCTCAGACAGGATTTGAGCAAAGCAGGATCCAGCAAAGTCAGTTAACTCTGGGGAAACCAATCTGTCCAGATTGTTCAACTGCCACTGACCTGAGAACAGGCCATGTCCCCAGGCCAGAGTTAAGGGACAGAGAATTTGCTTCACAGTCTAACGGGTAACATAACAGGTAACAGGACAATAGCCAACATTATGAAGAGCAACACAAAATACGCATTTAACCATGCATATAGTGGCAATTTTAATTCAAAGATCTCTAATGGGTACCAACCAAGAAAAGGAGATCCGGGTGTGTTGTATCCAGGAAGATATGGCTCCCAGTCTCAAAAACTCATTATCTGAATCTATGAACACTTCTCCTGATTGACATACTGAGGGCAAAGACACAAAAAGGTCTACAAGGACAGGACTCCTCTTCCCTACCTTTAAAATCCCAATTTTAAAGACGGTCAAGCCTGCTCAGTCAACGAGAAGGGGCAGGCACCTCCAAAGAAAGCTCCATCCCAGCTCTAGCCACTCGGTCCTTAATGAAGTCATAGATGCGAAAGATGACGAGTTTGTGTTCAGACATCTAAAAGCTTCCTTGCAGGAGAAGAACCCCACCTTGACTGTCTGCCCAACACAGCAGACATCCAGGATGGGGTGGGAAACTGTTTGATGTCTCCACAAGCCCCAGGGTAACTCCAGCACTACCTGCTGCATGCAAGTGAGTATCAGCTACACATCTTTGTCAGACTCATCGGATCACACTTCCACCCAAGCAGGACAGTTCCTGACTGAGTAGCTACACTAGCTTTCTTAAATATTAGTTCATCAACTAATTTTCCAGTTCACCATCTTCCCTTTCCTTCTCACAAAGCATGACTGTCTCCTCGTTTAATTATTGCCCTCCTCTGGTCTGTCAGGTGGTGGGGTCAGACCTCACCTCTAATACAGACACCTGGAAGCCCACCTCAATCACCACTTCTCCACTCCACAGTGTCTCCTGCCAATCTTTCTTATCCTGACCTCACTCTCCTACCAATCTCAACAGCACCACTGCAGGGCAGTTTGCCTTTCCTTTTGAAGCCTGGCCTTCCTCCCCACCCTCACAGCTCCCTTCAATGTCTCCAGAGCAAGGAGACTTTGGGTCCTGGGCCCTTTTCCAGCTTGAACACAGTCTTGCAAAGGTCAGAGAATACTTAACCCAGCACTAGCATTTCCTGTGATGTCCCAAAACAACAGAAGAGGGCAGAGGGGAGCTGCCAGAGAGAAGCACAATTGCTCTGAAATCCTTGGACATGGTCTGGTCTCAGAGGGGAAGGCCTCTAAAGCATGAAATACTCCTGGTTTCTACACACATGGGCTCCCAAACAGCTCACCAACGCAGCCAGCTGTGTGACAATTCCATCCATAGAGAGCCAGACCCATCTGATGCATCCAGTGACCAAAGCCCTGGCCTTACTCTTGGCTCTCCCAGCACAATGCAACTGAGAAATGGGAAATATTTGTTGCCGAAGGCATCTCAAACATCCTTTCCATTCCACAACTCCAAAATCCAGACATTTTCTGTATTGCAGAGGAAGAACATGACCTGTACTGTATGAAAAGAGTGTTTCTTTACCAGAAAGCTGTAGTGTACTAAGGCCCCATATTGTCCCAAGGGCACTGGCAAAGCACTCTCTCAGGCAGGTGACACCTTCCTGAACAGGCACAACAGCAGAGGTACAATATTCCTGTACAACCCCACAGGAAGCCCCTTTTCTGGTCCCAGAGCTACTACGGGCAACTACTTGTCATAATATGCTATTTCTCCCTTAAATCTGACACACACAGAGCCCTGTGTGCCTAAATGAATAGCCACATCAGAAATTCTACACACAGAGTGTCATCCTCTCCCATTTGACACTGCTGCACAGGATCAAGTCATTTCCACAGCAAACTGAGTGCAAAAGCAAGCTGGAAATGAGAGAAGCAGCAAGCCCAGAAGAATCACCTGGCTCTGGTCCAGTAACTCTAGGGCTCAGGAAGCAAATTTCTAATAATCAAGGCTTGCTAGCTGGTTAAACACAGTATCTAAGCAGCACTACTGCTGTTATTAAACATAAAACACCATTTATTACTGTGGAGGTCTTTCTGTAGCATCAGAAACTCATCTCTCTACTCCCTGCACTCTTCATATAGTTTAAGAAGACTGTCTGGGGCACAGGTTGGGGGTGGAAAGGAAAAGAGAGAGAGAGAGCATGCAAGGTAAATGAATCAGGCAATAAAAATTGTTGAAATTGGCTCAGACATCTCCTGATAAGATCACAGAAGTTGAGAAAGAACTACAGTTCTGCTGGTGAGAAATTCAACCATTGACAAGACACATCCACTCAGGGGAAAAAAAACCACACCTAAACACACAGAACACTTGCTAAAAATGCCAATTCTTTAAACACCGAAGTCAAGAGTATTTTTCTCTTGATATGATTCTGATCCCAGAAACAAAGGCTTGCTCATTTGGTATCAACAGTCCCCTCTGCAGGTTCATACAAATCAGCATTCACAGCGCATGGACCTCACACTAAGATTCTGAATCTGGAAGCAAATTTGTGGCTGAAGCTAAAAAACCCAGTCTGTCTCACCCCTCCCCACACCACTTCATCCCAGAAAGTTCAGCCCTGAGATGAAATATCACCATGAGGGTCCTTAGATCTTTTCAAGGTGCTATTGGCAATTTCACTAGAGACTGAAACTCCTTATTCAGGGATCTGTAGAGCAACCGGGCAATAACCACCTGGTGGATGGCTTTTCCTTGGGGCAGCCACAGGGTTCTCAGCACCAGCTCCAAGCCCTGCTCCTGGGTTAGTGGCCCATCCCTACTGCTGCAGGGTGGCTCAGCCAGCAGAGAGGCAGCTGCAGAGCTACAAAGTGCTTCCACCTCCTTGTGGATTTGAATTGCTGTGTCTGCATGATCCACCCCTGCGTGCAAATCCTAAGCCTTTGCGTACCTTGTAGACACCGATTATCCAGGTTTGTTAAGTGTCTGACTGGCTATGACAGCAGGATAACACTCTGGGAATACTCACTAACTCCTTTTGACAGCCCTTCTGAAGAATCATTTGTTTGTTCACACAGTAAAACGCTTCATGTTTTAGAAATCATGTCAGCCTTTTAGCATCCTCCAGGAGGTAAGGCCCTCCCTGCCATCCCTCTCAACCTTACTGAAGCCCGACCCGGAGAACAGGGAATCCTGGCACCCCACACCAGCCTCAAGTAATGTCACGTATGCTGCAAGGCAGCACTTTCAGCAGCAGCACACACAGCTCCTTGCTGCTGTCTGACAAGCATCCCAAACTTCTCCCACAGAGCTGAAACCCAACATCAGCCCCGCTACAACCTTTCCTCCACAGCCCTTGTGCAGCACAGAGTGAAGCTAATGGTGACACCAAGTTCTGTGCAGTGACACCAGCCCTTGTTCCTCCTGTAGAGTACAGTAGCACACACAGCTCCAGAGAAGGACCTCCATGTTCCCTGCTGAGAGCTTCCATGTTCCCCAAGCCAGGCTGTCCCTAGATATAGCACTCTGCAGCCACCAGTAGCTCTCCCCATGATGCCGATGACTAGCACATAACATCCCAGCAAAGGAACAGCCAGTCTTCAAAAACTGAAGGAAACCACTCCCAATTTTTAACTGAAACCCAGGCAGCAATGAAACTGTAAAATGAGAACTCCTGCACTTTGACTCCAGCAACAAACTGGTGGGAAATGTCTTTGGAACTGAGTTGACTCCATTCTCTGACCTGCTGTCCTTGCACCTAGAAGATACACAGGCCTTTTCCAAGAGCTGGAGTGGCTCAAACAACTGCAGTTAGCTACTAACCAGGGAAGCTGCCTGTACTTACACTCCTACCGTAGCGCCCACAGTTCTGAAACAAAGATCGCACCAGAGTTCACCTAGAGGCTGTTCTAGTTTGAAATAGGTCACTGGGTGTTGAGACCTGTGGTTCAAGCAACACATGCTTTGGGAGCTCAGTGACAGCAGCTACTCCCTCTTCTGCTGAAGGCAAGCCCCTTGCTACAGCCTTAATGCTCCTTCAGAAGCTGCCCCTCGCCTCCCGCAGGGATCCTCCAGGAGGCTGTGCTCACTGCCAAACCCAGCTACGCTCCATCACACCTCCCGCGCCACTTCATCTGCTCTGGAAACGCTCAGTACTTCCTTTTGTCAGTACTTGTCTGTCAGGCAGGCAGTTCTGCCAAGAACCTTAAAGCAGTTGCAAAGCTCTCCCAGTTGCACATGCAAGCCCTCTTAAGAAACAGCCAGAAGGTTTTGCCTAATGTAAGAGAGTAAACAAACTTGTTACATGCTAATCACCAGGTAGGCCACACACCCTTCCCCTCCCCCAGCCCCTGAATCTGCTAAAAGGACAGGAAATATAATCGTGGTCATATACCTTTGCTTCCTCGTTGATGTCCCAAGTGAAGGATATGGCATTGTACGCAATCTCCTCAATGTTACTGATGGTGTTAAAGCTCTCCTTGTAGTCAGCTGTTAGAAAGAAGGATGCATGAGGGAGAGGAAGAGGAGATATCATGTGGAGTTCTTAATCAGATGGAGCAGCCAGAAACCGCAGCTCTTCAGCAGCCACTTGGGGGCAAAGAAAGCTGAACTGTACTTAGGAATGAGACACTGAAAAGGCTGGAAATGGTTCTTGTACAAATAAAAAGAAAACCAAAAACAAACAAACAAAAACAAACAAACAAAAAAAAACAAAAAAAAAAACAAAAAAAGCAGCAAAAAACCAACCAAACAAAACCAAAACCAACCAAACAAAAAAAAACAAAAACCAACCAAACAAAAAACAACAAAAACCAACCAAACAAAAAAAAACCAAAATAAACCCAAACAGGAGGAAGGAAGAAAACGGGACTTGCAGAAATTCTGAACTAGAAACTCCAGTGAGAAAGGCAGACATCAGGTGTTCTGTGCCATAACCTGCTATGTGCAGGAAACTCTACCCTGTATGGCAAGGACATAAGCTCTCAATAAAAATCCTTCAACAACAAACAAAGATTTGCATGCGCGTCTGCTGTAAGTGCCAAGTGATTAATCCCTGCTTTGATTCACAGAAGGAGGGGACGAGGAGTACAACCCAGCCTTTAGCCAGAGAAGGCTGGCAGCCAGCCAGCCCCAGCCTTGTCTAGAGGCAAGTGGAAATTTGCAGTGTTTTCTTTTTTTTACATGCACCAAAGGCCAGTTGTGAGCAAAGCTGTGGGAAGGAGGATCATTAGTGTTGAGGTATTCCTACAAGGATCATGTCCTTTGAAGAAACACAGTATTTAGGACAGCCACTGAGACTAAACCGCCATTTAGCTACAAGTACCAGGATATGCCAAAGCAACTGTCATTTGGAGGGAGGTGTTAAATCTCCCAATGCAAAACTCTAATGCCCACCAACCAAAGTCCTCCAAAAAAATCAGTCTCTTTAAGGAGCCCTAAAAACTAGAGCATTAGCTCCAAGCAACCAAAAACTTGCTCTGGGCTTTCAGCAAAGCTATGGACAGCAGAGCATGATCTGAAAGTTCCTTAAAATAACAAAGCTTTAGCAGAAAACCAAAGCTTGCCAAGGAATTAGGTCTGGAGTTTGACATCAGCAATGAGAGTGTTCTTTACCTATGTCAATGCATCTTTGTTTGGCCGTGTGCTGTCTTGAGTGCCAGTATTTCCAGTGCCTGAGCTGATCTTCCCTTGTTTTGTCTTCAGCAAACACGACCATAATGACACTCTGAAAGGAGAGGGAGAAAGATTTTTTTTAAAAATAAATAATAAAAACATGAAAGAGAAAAAGGACAGAGTGTACATTTGTTTTGGAAGTTCTCATTGGTATCAGGTCTTCTGCTTTAGGCTTTCCCACTTGAGGCACTGCTGTATACCTGGCACATTGCTGCCAAACAGCAAGGCAGATAGCAGCACTTTCTGGGTCATAAACAGAGATGAGCAGAACTGCTCTCCTAACTAGAATTCAAGGATCTCATTCCAGGTATTGCATCACCTTGACACAAGTGCTGACAGCACTTCTTAACAGACTGAGCCAGGATGGGTTGGTCTGGAAGTAGGTGGACAGCAAAGGAACGAGGATTGACGTAAGAGAGCAGGTAAGCTGGCCTTAGTGCTGATGCTCTGGTTTAGATTACTGCACTTTGGGAGAGTTTAAGGCTACCACTGTACACACCCTCTTTCCCAAGAAACCACAAGAGTTGCCACTCACTCGGACTTTACTGATGGGGTGATGGATTCCTTCACTGCTGCTGACTTCTTTCAGCGTGATCGGGTAGAATTGACCTTTATTCAAGTAAGTCATTGTGCTGTCCCCAGGCTTCTGTCGGAGGGACTTGGAGGCTTCCAGAGTGTATTCAAAGTTATTCCTGTGGAGCAAAGAGGGCAGTGATTGCTAAGGTATTTTCCTGGAAAGCCGATTAAACGTTCCACATTTAATTTGGAGAAATTCCAAAGTCGTTAGTTGACTCATTAAGCCATCAACAGGCAAGGAAGTTGGAAAACAGGATGAGCCCCTTTTTAACCATTTCCTTCATGAATGAACATTTATGAGAAGTTCTTGGCAAGCTAAATCCCAAGACACATCAGCAAGCAAGACTGGGAGGTCCCTATTCAGGCTGAGAGCAAGCTGCTCTCATGGAAGAGAAAAGTATCTATTAGCAATTTAATTAAATTCACAAGTTAATAAGCTATTCAGTGACCATGGTCTTTACCTCTTCCCTGTTGGTCAACTGCAACTAATCAAACAACTAATTTGCTTCCTAGCCTCGGTGCTCAGATGAGTTTTATGCCTCCTATTTCTGCTGTAATTTCCAGCAGAGAGCAAGACCAACAGGCCAGAGAGAGGGACACAGCTGGGAAAAAACTCCCAGACCGCAGCAGAGCTGACAGACAGCACTGCACCTTCCCACAGGACAGAGAGTTGGTGTAAAGACAGCGACCAAAACTGGGTGGCACTTCCAACCCTCCAGGTAGCTTTCCTTAGAGTAGTTTTTTTTAAAAGATACAGGTAGGATTTTCAACTGTGAAACTCAAATGAGCTGACACTGTTGTGGTTTTGAGATCCACAGCCCCCCCAGCATCTGACTGAGACTTGGTGCAGAATGGAACAAGCTGTACTGCTTGCTCATGGACAACTGTAAGAGAATAGGAGGATATGGGCAAAGGGGGCCCTTAAAGCATTACCCAGAAATGCTGTCAAAAACATAATCTTCTGAATTCATGTTGGCCATCCGGAGATTCAGCTCAGTAGGAAAGAAAACCTGGGGTAGACAAAACAAAATACAACAATTAACACAGCAGCAACAAGAAAAGTCAAGATTAAACAGATACTCGTTACCACGAAACTTCTGGCAGGCAAACTGATCATCAGATAACAACTGATTTTTAGTCTGTACAAACAGGACACTTGAGTAGTGTTTTAATCCAAAACTGTTGGGTGTCAATTAAGCACAACATCTCAAGCCTTCCGAGTCAGCTTAGGGCAAGATTTTAAAGCTTTCCCAAATAGCCAAGAAAGAACATAGCTACACAGCTCCTTGAGGTTTGGCTTAAAAAAATCAAAACATGGTTACGCTGCTGTTTTCAGTTGGTACCATAAAACGAAACCCATGGATTTTCATCCAGGTTTAACTCTCACTCAAGGCCCCTACATAACCCAGCTGCTTTCCACTGACACACACCACACCTAGAAACTGGCAGTAAGGAAGCTTACAGACAGTCACTTCAGTACCTGCAAAGGCACCAGAGTGCTGAACTCTTGCAAAACCTGGGCCAGCGCTGTGGATTGAGATAACTATTTCCACACTCCACAAGCCAAAGCCTCTGTCACTAGCAAGATTAGTCATTTGCTTCTGATAATTATTTCATGTTGTGAAGGGTTTTTTTACTAAGTTGCACTTATGCACCTTTCTGAGAAAGTGTTCTGTTCCTAAAACACTGGACAGATTGCTGACTCATGCTACAAGAACAGTCAAAGATAGAACAGGATCTCTCCATCCAGATCAAGATACAGACACGTGCACACACACACAGAGCAACTGCCTCTCTTAGTACCTCTTGCACACCCTCCTTGAAAGTCTCTGAGAAGGTCGAGTCTGGCGTTCGTCGCTGGGAGTTCTGAGGCTGGGTGTTGGAACTGAACTGGTCGGGATTGAGGTTCCTGTCAAAGACCACCACGCGCTCGGGGGGCTCGGGGTGGTAGACGTTGGGTGGGATGCCCACTGCGAAGCCGTGGGGCTGTGTCTCCGTTTTGATGGAATGGGTGGGCATGGTGGCAATCGAGACGGTGACCGTTGTGTCAGGTGTTGTCAGGTGGCCTCGCTTGTCCATGCCCATCTGGGGGGTGTGTGGAAGGACAATATTGAAAGGCACATTTTTCAGAACCTGGACTCTGTTTTCTCCAGCAGAAATGAGTGACTGTTCTGTCACATTTGGGATGCTGTTCCTTAAAAGAACAAAAAGAAATCATGCATAAATGATATGCTTATTTCCTCACTGAACAAGAGCTAGAGATACTGCTCAGCCTTTTGGACAAGGACAGCTGACAACAATTCTTCTACTTGTACAGAACAGCTCAATCCTAAGCTGAAAAACTGAGAAACTCATTTAAAAAATGATTCTTTACCCGCTGCTAACCACCTCACCTTGGAGATGAATTACCCTGGAGCAAAGAATGAGGGTTCATAGCCCAAACCCTCACTGCTTGGAAAACAGTGGTCCAAAACTAAGTGCTTTGAGGCCCTTCCCACCACTCATCAGCACAGACTCCATGAAACTGCTTTTTGGCAGGACTGAGAGCAAAGTTGCTCCTCTGCCCCAGAACTGTGCACCACCCGGGATGCACTAATAGGGAAATTACACCCCTCTTTCATGCACAAACCCCCAAGAAAATCCACACCGAGACTCCTGAGAGTGGTTTGCATAACTTGCCACTCCACTCCACCACACTAATTTCTGCCAGGACAACACTGAGATCTGTGGCTGAGCGGACCTCATAGCTAGTAGCCACTAAGTCAGCCTGCCCTTCCTTTCTCCCTCCCCACAAAGTGGTCCTGTCCTCTCCTTTGCACCAATTCTGATGCTCCTTTGCCTCCTTGGTGAGCCAGTTTGGCTTGTTCTGCTGGCAGAAAACTAGCCACTTTATTTTTCCCTGCCTAGTGATGGGTCAGCATAAGACCAGAGCTGGTACAAGGGGAGCAGTGAGAACACATGGCTGGGAACCAGACTGTTTTTCTCAACAAGAAGTCATTCAGTCAGCTCAGCCAGGCCACAAAACCTCACCTTGGGTCCTTAAAGCATTCTAGTCTGTCCCAATGAAGAGGACAGCAGGAGTGGAAGCCTGGCTTGAATGAACCTGACATTTGTAATATTCACTTAATCAGTATCATCTTCTGCTTGGGAGGCACAAAAGAGGGTGAGTAGGAAGGGAAAGAAATAAAGAAAGTAGTTTCAGAATATACAAGGAAGTCCACAAACAACACAAAACCAAAACTAAATTACAAGCACTTTGAAGTCCTTCTCTATTGGCCCATGCACAAAGAAGCAATGCTGCTGGTACCCGAGAACCAAATCAGCAGAGAGCAACCAAAGCAACCTCGTAAAAACAAAAGGGTCACCAATCACCTCCACAGCCTGGGGAAGGGGTGCCTGTGCTACCAGGCTGTGCCTTCTGTTAGACAGCAACTTTTGCTGTGCTGACTGGATGACACTAGTACACAGAAAGCACATGGATGCCAATAGAAGCAGTTTGAGCCTCAGCTCTCCACATTCTGGTCCAATCCCCACGCTGTTCCTGGAGCAATTCAGGAATCTGGGGCACAGTATAAAAGCAAAGAATTTCTCTCTTGCAGCACAACACTACACTGCAGCAAATTACTTTCCTTCAGCTGCTTTGGTGGTCTAGGGGGGAAGGGAGATAAGGACAGAAGCAATAATAAAAGATAATACCTTTTGCTATGGTCTTGTTCAGGATGTTCTACCTCTGGTTTAGCTGTCGAAGCTCTCCTCTCCCTTGGAACCTGGGAAATATAAGACACTGTAATTCCATTCTTACTCCCATAAAAAAAAGTATCTCCTTAACTAACAGCCATTTGGTCGAATTAAGAAAGCACTGCTCTCTGATGCCACTAGCAGCACTAGAACTTGACCAATGCTCACATGATATTGTGATGCCAGGCCCACTCACCCCAGGAGATGCCCCATGGATCCCCACGTAGCTGACTCGGCCAGCTCTGCTTGCCCTGGGCTCCTGCCAGCACCAGGTGGTGAGAAAACCAGCGCAGAAAACCATCCATTCCCAGCTGAGCACCAGCACCAGGGTGAGCAGCACCAGAAGAGCTCCCAAGGTCTGCAGTGGCAAGTGCAGGTTTTCTCCTCTGCATGCTGGCAGAGTTCAGCTTGCTGGATGAATTCAAAGCTTGTGAAAGGACACTGCTCCACAGCCTCTTCCTCAAGAACGAATGTGCTCCAGACCATTCCCTCAAACACCACTTCAGGCTCTCCTTTCTCCTCAGAGTCCAATAAGCACATCAGCATGCTACAGCTCATATTTGTTCATGGCCACACACAACACATCGGCCCAAACTGTATGAAAATCTGTTACAAACAAAAGGTAATCACCAGTGCTCTGGATTTAAGACAGCTCAGTAATGCTCTTCATATTTTATGCCATGGACAGGATTTACTCTGAAAACATGACATCGATCATACAAGTCACCTCATCCACACACATGCACACCATTTCCCTGGCTGCACTGCAAGGCCAAGGCGCACAGAAGAGGGTGAACTCCGACCTGTGGTGTCTCAGTTCATTGGATGGAGCACACAGTCAGCACCCCAGCAACCAAACGGCTCTTGCAACCGCTGGCACAAGTCCATGGTGCTCAGGTCGCCTCAACCACACAGCAAATCCAATGCAAGCTCCCATGCCAACCCACACATAGGGCCAGGACTTTTGTCACTCTCAACACACCTCCCAAACAAAGCAAACACCTTCTGGTGTATGGAGGAGTGAATTCCCACCACTTTTCCTCCACTGAAGCCTGCTCAGATACTGCCTGCATTTGCTTGTTTGGATCGAGCAGGGGGAATCACCACTTGCCCACTGACTCGAAGGCTGATGGCATACCCACACAAACATCACCCTTCTTTAAATAGGCCCTGACTGAAAACTATGTCCTCATTCTCCCACATGACCCAGAATTATTAAAACTTTTCATGGTAACCAGCAAAATTTGGAGAACTTCTAGCTAGAGACTGCTAGGAGGCCAAGACTAAGCAGTCTGAGAAACAAGAGTCTTCCAAGCTGCACTTGGCCAACACACCCAAACAGATTTTTATCAAGAAATTGTTTCCTATAACACCTTATTAACCACAGTTGAGCAATCAAGGTAGCCCAGTAGCCAAATGGAAGGAAATGAAAGCTGTTTGGTTTTGCCATTTTGTGTTGGTTTTTTTTTTGTAATATGAAGGTGATCTCATTAGGTGCCTTTAATAGTGCAGAGGGAGTGTATTACAAACGCTTATACATCACCCCTCTAACATTACTTCATAACAGCCCTCAACAAATCTTTCAACCTGTAACCATTTTGCTTTATCCAAGTATGCAGCATACCTGTTCTTCCACCAATTTTTTCTGTATACCCACTGATACCCAAACATAAGAGGAAACCCCAAATTAGGCATTAATGTACACCAAATCCCTTCTGCTTTGCCAAGCGTGAAGGATCAACATCAACATTCTTTTTGTAATCTATGAGTTTAGAAATCAAAATTGATTTTGTGGATTAAAACTGTTCTGGTGAAAGCATGTTGTTGCAATTTTTTCTCCCAGAAGCATAGCAAGCACAGGCACAAAGCAGAAAGCCAGTTTTCTCACAAAACTAGCTGAATAACATCCACATCAGTGCATCTGTGGCATTTTGTTGTGTGTGTGTGTGGAGTGTTAATCTCCATATTAAGCATTACAAGAATATTTTGATATGTAGGACATGTTCCACTCTTAAAAGGGCAGGCAAGAATTTTGTGTGCACAAGGCAACCTCTCCTCGTGCTTGAAGAGCATACTGAGGCTGACAATTGTACTCACTACTGTTAAAAGACACTAGTCAAAGTGCCAGGCACAGGAACCAACTCAGCCTCCCGGCCTTCCTGCAAGTTCAGCAAAGAAGAAACAAGCATCTCTGCCCGGTGAGCCAGGGCACCGACTCACAGGTGTCTTAACATGAACAGGACCCCTTCCTGCCTGGAAATGCCTGCTGGTCTCCACAGACCTGGACTGGAGATAACTACCCCGGCTTATACTCTGGTATTTAGGAAAGAAAGCTCAGCAAAATGCAGCCCACACAGATCAGAAGGTTATTTCACTGTTCATTTCACCTGGGAGTGCCTAGGAAGGCAGGTCTCCAACAAGATCATGAACAGTGGGGAAGACAACCACAGTTATCAAAAGATTAACAGATTACAGCAACTGAAGCTAACTGAAGGCTAGAGGGATGCAGACAGCAACTCCTTTAGGTGGACACTTCTGCCTCACACACTGCCAAATATCTCCAGTTATATGTTCGTATTGGCAGAGACCAAGGTAACACAACAAAGCTCCAGCAAAAGCCAACAGTCCACCAGAATAGGGATCACATGAGCAAAAATTTTCTTTCTCCACATACATTTACATTCAGACAGGGATATGGTCCCAAAGTGTCATTCTTCATTACTATTTTTATAATACATTGCCACCTGCAGAACCTGGAGTCAAGGCAAAGAAAGTGCTACAGAAGCTGAAAAGTAGCAAAGGGCTACTGAACCTTTATGCTAAGATCCAGGGGACCTTATTTTACTGAGCTAAAAACAAACCAGTTTTCAGAAAGACGTGGATTTTTTTTTTCCCATTTAAAACCCACATCATTTAAAGTCCTCATGATCTATTCATAGCTTCTGAAAAGTCCTCCACCAAATGACACCTTTTCCACAGGTGGCAAGAGCTCCACAGGCTGCCAGAGCATACCCACACCAGTCTACCTTGTAGTAATCATACAGCAGTCCGAGAGCAGCTGCACTGTCTTCATCCCCATTGATGCTCATCATAGCTTTGGTAGCTGCTGTAAGGGGATTTTCAAGAAAGGTTTTCCAGGCCTCATCTTCATTGGTGTAAGGACGTCTCTGAGAGTAGAGAGAGTCATTCTGAAGAACCAACACGGGTCTTTTGCTTGGATCATAAAAAAGGAGAAATAAAAAAGCCACCTGTTAGAACACATGAAAAACATTCCTCAAGTTCTTCAAAATTAGCTGCCCCAGTTTCACAGGGTTCATATTCTGATTCAGTGTACTGCAAGGATTAGTCAACACAAAAAGCCCAGAAACCTAATTCTGATCTCACTCACGCTTAGCATAAATCAGGATTAATTTGACCAAACTCAGATGGATTACACCAGCCTATATAAAAAGGCAAAGCCGTCTGAGAGTACAACTGACCTGCTCATGCTCTGAATCCAACCCAGAAAAGAGTTACACACGCTTACCAGCCTCCACCTACAAAACCTCCAGCACCCCCTATTTAATACTGCCAAGCAGCAACCTGCTCCAGTTCCCACCTGGAACTAGAATTAACAGAACAACCTCTTTCCTCCAGAACTTCCAAGTGTCTTTGCTCTCAGAGTAGATCTAAACACCACCTAGAAGCTACAGACTAGTTACAGACTGCAAAGGGAAATTGGTCAAGGGGACCTCAAATCAACTTGGCAGTCAGTGTTTTGCTGACAAGGGAAACTAAGAGACTTACTGTCTGGTTACTGTTCAAATAATCCATGACAATAGTTTAAAACACTTAAAATGAAGAAAAAAAAAGGGGAAAAAAATCTGAGTTATTCCCTTTATGTTGCAGTATATATATAAAAATATAATTATATTTACTCTGAACATTTTGAGGTTTCTGGGAACAAGAAATCTCCAAGGTGACTTGGACCTTCTGCCCACAGGCGAGAGCGGATGTGTCGGAAATGCTGTCCTGCCAGCTTAGACAACCTAGCAATTTTTTTCTGGTTCTATTGGTAAAACATGTGCTTCATCTTTCAAGTCAGCTCAAGCCAATGTTGTTTCAATCTGACTTTTAAACCAGCTTAAACAATTTTCTTTCCAGTGCAAGTATAATATTGGCTTACTGCAGATTGGTGGGGGGAGAAAGGGAAGCTTTATTTTCTTAAATAATCACAAACTTGGCATTCTTTATGAATTGGCAATAGTTTAAAATAAATATGTTATTAAGTAAAAAACCCCAAGCAGCCCCACAAAAAGCAGTTCCCCACCACCATCACATCCCTTCCCCAGCAGATAAGCATTCTTTTCATCTATTTACACAGATGCATTCAGAGACTGAAATACACTACAAATACAAAAAGTTGCGAAATAGAAAGTTGTGAAATACTCTAATCACTATAATCAGCTTAACAGTATACTACACTCATCTCCACCTTCTACCAAAAAGATTGCAAAGCAAATTATGCGTTCGATCCCTTATCGATTACACAAGTCATCTCACTGAGCTTCCATCGCACAGCTTGGCTGAGCTGAAGACACTGAAGGCAAGTGGGAGTTTCCAGGACTTGTAAGAGCACTTTGTGGCTATAAATCAGCGTTACACAGTTTGAAAAAAGCAAACAAGACTGACAAAAGAGACAAGCTCCTGCACCAAGCCCTTTCTCTAGGTCTTCATACATACTTGTGTACACACTGACGCAGATACCTCTGGTATTGAGAACATCTACTTTCTATTAAAGTGAGGCAAGCAGAAGAAGACAAGAAGAGTATTTTTCAGGGACTTGGTACAAGCTCCTATTCTTATGCAACGTGATAAAAGAAAACTCAAATATCCATAGGAAACGGGTACATCCTCCAGTCAAACTCACTCATAGAAAAAAAGGCAAGTGAAGTAACCCGGGTGCAGCTCACTGGATCCATCCCTACCAAGTTGAAGGGCCAAGTCAGACTTGCTGGAACTCACAAGACCAGTAAGCTAATTCCCTCCAGCAACACAAGGCTCACACGGGAAGCAAGAACCAAGGGAGAACCAAAAATACCGAGGACTAAAGCAGCAACTAACCAGAAACATGGCAAATACAAAGCCTACATATTTTTGTGCGATTTCTTTGTCATTGAAACACCCAATTATAATGCATGCTGCCCTTCATGTAACCTACCCCCCTAAAAACAGCACAGAAAAAAATTATCTTCAAAACTATCAAGAGGTATCAAGGGTTTGGTGGGAACTCAATCCTTTAGGAGAACTGCACCTTTGAGGAAAATGAGCATGTAATAGTAAACATATGTTTTTCCTAAGTTTTAGAAGGTAACCGGCATGCACATCTGCTCGCAAACTAGGAGACATGCCCAGCAAAGGCTGAAAAAGTAAGTTTCCTACTGCTGTTCTAATAATTTCTGAATTTTACTTCCCATGTGACCGCAGTGGAAGCCGAGGAGTCACACAAAAAGCAGACGCTCAGCTCCCACAGCCCAGCGTGCAGCTCCCAGAAGCTATGCCACCTGACTCCACTGATGCAGGATCCAGCCTTCCTGTCCCTGCCCTGCGATGTAAGCAACGCTCCGACTCCCCAGCCGCGCTGTGCCTGCCCCTGCACAGAGCACACCCCCAGTGCTGGGGCAGCGGGAGGGTTCCTCTCACCGGCTGCTGCGTGCCAGGGAGGCGAAGTGCACGTACCCAGATTGCCACGGCCTCATCTACTAAGTGTCACTAGAAATCAAAACACCTATGAAAAACCCTAATTGCAGGGAGAACTTAGCGAGCTGCTGCTTCATTAGAGTCCTCTTTATAGAAAGGAGCATATTAAAATTAAAACTTTGGGGGAAACCCTGTGCTTTTCCTAGGCAATGAGTGTTTTAAGACCGATCGTTCGA